TCACAAACATCTAATTTGAAGCAGTGTTGCATTCAACATACCACATGACACACAAAAATCGATGTTTATCTGTTTTTTAATATTTACTTTTAAATAACAAATTGAGTAATGCATAGTTCCAAAATTTGAATTATAATCTACAGTTTGATACCAAACTTATTGACATAAGTTCATTAAATAGTAGTTCAATAAAATTTTTAATGTGAGTCAACAAATGAAATGACATGGCCTTTCACCTGTGACCCATATCGAAAGGGTTAATAGGAAGTTTAACCAGATTAGGAAAACAGCAACAACAAATCATACTTCTATCTCTAGACTTATTTGTTGTCAGGCTTCACAGATGGGCAAACCCAAGACCTCTTCCATCCTAAAACAAACTTATCACAACAACCCCAGTACTTTACAAGAGTTAATGCCATTTGTAAGTGATGACAGCAGGTTAAATACAGGTAAATTACTACAAGAAAATACTTATGGAATGATAAAATTAGTATGATGCAAAAACTAATCTGACTAAAACTGCTGAAGCAATATTATGGTATTAAATAAAATACTTATGGAATGATAAAAGTTGTATCTGAAATAAAAAAAACTTGCTGTCTGTTTTTTTCACTGCTTACTATTTGGCCCTAACTGGTCTACATCCTCCTACTCTTTTTTGATTGTTCAAATTATATTAAAAAATAAATATTCATTGTAATTTCTAGATATTTTGCTCTCAGCTATAACTCTGAAAACAAAAATGCACTAAGAAATAGTAACTATAGTCAACTCTGGCAAGACAACATTTTAGCTTCAAACTTTAATAGAAAATTGGAGTCTATGAAGGAAAAATATGCTTCAAATACAACTATCCTTTCACATCTTGATTAACTCCTTCCTCATTTCTGAGGGACAAAAAAAGAATAATTTGAAGTGAAAGGGATAAAGCATTTGTAGAAAAAATAAAGCCTATGTACCAGTGTAGATAAATTATACAAAGCCAAGCTAATAATGATACAGTTACTAAAAATAAATTTAATGAGGAAGTATGTTTACAAACAAGAAAGAAGTTGGCCTTCTAATTATTCCACTCCTGTTTTATTGTGTAAGTCAAGAGTGTATGTTTTATTCTTATTCAATACAAAATAAGAGTTACAGATTTCCAATGTTATCAATAATTATGTCTAAAAATTTGAAACATAAGCAAAAAATCTGCTACTTAAAACCTTTTTAATACTGTTGCAAAACACAAGATTGAGTTTTCTTTGACAGATGCAAGTTAACCATTTGTAAGCCTCTTACACAAAGAAATCATGGGTCTTCTACTGTTTTAGATAATTAAGCTTAATTAAATAATGTTCCTAAATACACAACAAAATAACTCAGTTTACACTTTTTTGTTTGCAAATTACCACACCCTATAACAATTCTCAAAAACCTGGTGATGGGATGGCCTTAAGAATATGTTTGAACTGCTTCTTTAGACCAAGCTGGCATAATTAACAAGAAGTGATTTGTTATTCCAACACCCTTGTTCATCTTTCTAGTGCACACTCAGCACTGATAATAGAATCAGTGCATGAAATTCATTGTTTTTAATGAAGTACTAACCTGATTATGAAATATTAAAGACGTACTGGAAATTCTTTCTTGCTTTTACATAACATACTTAGTTTTTGGTACAATCAGTTATTTTCTATAAAAAATCTATTAAATTTGTAATTATAATATAAAACTTTGAAAAACAGAGTGCAGATGCAATATTTCTAAATATAGATATGACAGGCAATTTCTCATCTCTCCTTTGAAATTGGATTATTTTGCTTGAAAAAGAATGAATGATTAATGAAAGATCTAAAAAGAGCTTTATATGTTCAAAAGTCATCATCCAATAATCTGAATGTAGAACCAAGGACTTTTCAACTCTTGAGTCATTTACTTGAAAAGAGAGAAAACAATGAAGAGACTATACAGAATGATAGGAAAAGTATTACAAAAAGGTATTTATGAGGAAACTTAAAACCATTCTACACTTGTGTAACTAAGCACGTGAATAAATATATGTCACATTCAGACTGATAACTTACTGATTTTGTGGTGTGCAATGAAACAGTGTCTACAACAAAGCTTACATTTATCCCTTTTAAAAGTGCAGACAAACTCGTATGTTTTAGAAGTGGTGAGCAAAGTCCAGTAAGTCTCAGGGTTCAAGTAAAAAGCTGAATTGTCATTATAAAACTAGACAAAAGCTTTAAGAATCATTCTACTAAATGATGCAAAAGAAAGGATAAGAAGTAAACACAAATTCATATCTCTCATTTTCTGAATAGCCCATGACAAATCAGGTAAACAGAGGTGAATAATAAAATATTTCCAAGGGTAAAGTAAGTTAAATGAAAAGAGAATGCTACAGAAAAGAAACAAAATGAATTATCTGAGAATAAAATATGAAAGGAGAGAAATATCTAACATGTAAAATTACACAGACTTCTTAAGTATAATGCCAATTTGTCAACAAACTATGGTATTCACTCAAACAATTAAAATTTTTGTGTGAAATTCTCTTCCGGTTAAATACTCTGCCTCCACTCACAAGATTAGCTTTTCTCATTTTGTGATGCCCTCTACATGCAAACTTTTTCTTTTGGAATCCAAAGTTCCAACAAGTCTCTCATGCAAATCATCATGTGTCACCTTTCCATCAATAGAAGAGCACTACTATCATATGACACATGTGACTCCCTCTACACGCCACTACCAAACTATCATTTCTCATTTGGCAGCTGTAGAGTTCAGATGTTCTTTCTGACGTTATTCAGTTACCTTGAAGTGGATTATTTTTTTATTTTTTATATTCTTCTTAGCTTTATTTACTACACTTCACAGTTATGGAGTTAATATTTTTATTAAAGCATTACTTACTCGTGTTTGCCACTTTTTCCTGTTTATGAATTCCAAAGTGTCTGATGCTGTATTTTCAGCAATGGGCACGGGTAATTTGTCAGGGGATATATCGTTGCTCATTTACTGGGAGATTGAGCTTACTTCTTCCACACTTCCTCTTGAGCCTTTCGAGCTAGACCAAGCTTATGATGATTTTGATCATTTGTGGCACTATGTGTTTGACTTGGTTCCTGAGTCCTTGCAGTCACTGTTGGCCTCGGCCCATCAACATTCTACCTTTACTAGCTTGGTAGCTCATTTGACACAGTTGAGGCTGAGCACGGCACTGGTTCCTGTCCCCCGACCCAACCTCTTCATGTCTTAAACTCACATGGTGCCACAGTTCTACTATTTAGTCAATGATGCACAATCCGCCAACAGCAGTACTGGTGACTACGTGGTCAGTTCGGGCCCAGTAGAGGCTCGACTCTTGAATTTTGTTCATAGGTGGGGACCTTTTCTCTCAGAGGAATACATTATCCCCTTTCTCTCCCTTCCTCCATTTGCTTCTCCTGTTGATCTGTTCTTTTTGTCAGCCACCGAGGCATCTGTGGCTCCCAGACTGGGACATGAACATGATCCTTCATGCCCTCACTTTACCTCCATTCAAACTTCTTTCTACGTGTTCCCTGTTTCGCCTGTCTTTGTAGGCGTATTTCCTCCTCCTCCTGGCCTGCGGGCATTGTAGGTCAGATGCTTTCACCCTCAATGTTACCAGGACCTAGTACCACTCATCCTACCTTATCCTTTATTCAGATCGTGCTTTCCTTCCTAAGACCTCTGTGGCTTGAGAAGGTCAGTCCTTCTTTTCCCCCTATCTGCCCATTCTTTATATCTCATCTCTACCCTCATCCTGATCCAGATAGACTCCTCTGTCCTGTCCATGCCCTCCATTGTTACACCCTTGGCAACCTTCCTCTTCCCTCGGTTACCCTGACCAATTGGGTTCAACGTTTGATCCAGTTGGCCTATTCCTCCTTGTCTCCTTCCCAGCATGATCTCTTTCATGTTTCCTCACCTAAAATCCATCACCTTACCTTCTCCCTTGTCTCTCGTCTTCGTCGGCCATTGGAGGAGATTCTATGATCTGGCATGTGGATGACTTCGCACACGTTAATCTCCTACTACCTACACAACATCGCTGTTTCTGCTTCCTCAGAATATTGCCTGCCACCTGTGGCTATTCTACAGACTTCATGGTGGCTGTGACACTAAGTAAGTCCTTACTAATGCTTTCTTTTCTTTGAGAGGCCACTGCTTCAGCTTCACTTTGGATCCCACTCTATGGCGAGTGGTACCTGACCAGATATTCTGTCTGTACTCGAAATGGGTTCCACTTAGATGACTATAACCATTTGCAGACATCTTGCTATCAAATCTACACTGTAAGCCATGTGGATTCTTATACATTTTTCATAGCTATGTATGCTCATCCTTGAGATGGGATGTTTCACTAGAGTGTAAATTTCTCGTGATAATTGCATCATAATATGCCCATCCCAGACTGTACCACCCATGGACAGCAAGGGTAAAGCAGAAGGGTATTGTTGCCAATCCTTTCCATGCCTAGATTGAATAAATCGGTGTGGTCTGCTTTTAAAAATAGAGTTTCGTGACAACCCATTGCACTGTCTCAGATGTTGCAGTCCCTCCAGACTCTCCACTACACTTTTTCCCCCTTTCTTCCAGTGGAGTATGGGAGTCCTTTCCATTTACCAGTTCCAAGCCGCTGGGGTGATTGACCATGGAGGCAACCTACAAGATGGGTGGTGGTGTTCTGCCCATATAGTGGGAGTTACAAAATCCTTCAGATGAGTAACTAATTCCCAGAGTTGAGACTTAGCATAGGTACACAGAAAGTTAACCCAGAATAACCTCAAAATAATGTTTCAATTGAGTCTACTTCAAAAGTTTACCAAAAGTAACTAAGTCATGGAAACTAATAAACATAAATTTGTGAAAGATAAACAGTAAGAAAATGTCATGACAATCCTACAATGTATGAAATTTCTTGGGTATAAAATTATTTAGAAAAGTTAAAACCCATGTAACAAATCCAAAAGGAATAGGAAAATATATAGGGATATTTCTAAAACAACATTTAGTACTGGAAGGTTAAATTAATTTGTATTTGAACTTTGATTCTTATTCAATACATCATCTGTCTTCCGATGGATCTGCTCTATTTTCACAAATATGTCATTGATTCTAGCAATTACTTCTCTGCCTCTATGTTGGAATATCAATGCTTGGCTTTTGTTTTTAACCTAAAGTATGTAGGTCATTCAGTTTGCTGCTGATACTTACCTACTCTATTTGATATACCTCCTCTTTTTTTATGACTCATACAATACCAATGACTTTTTCTTTCAGTACTTCTGGCAATGGGATTTAAAAGAAATATAACACATTTAATAAAATATGTCTTACTGGAAGTTTCTTCTTTTTGACAGTTTTATTTTTTTCATCCCCATTTATCTGTGGAAATTGAGAATTTTGTTTATCCTGTATTGTTGTATATGGTTTTATATTTCCATTCCTTATCTGAGGTAACCTAAATTCTGTGACAAAACTAAGCAAAAGTCAAAAGTGTAAAAAGCACATAAAATTGGAAGAACTGAAATTAATTCAACTGTACTTATACAATATAAGTATTTTTAAAAAAAAATAATGTTAACCATTTCTCATCCAACATGGTAAGCTTTGCACCATGCAAACATTGTGCTTCCAATGCAACAATTATAGGTGTGAGGTACAAAGAAACATTTCTTTATTAAAATAAGGTAGAATAAATGTTCTTTTCAACAGCAAACACTTTTGGACAGGTTTATTAATGCTACAAAAATTGGTGAAAAACTTTTGAAATAAACTTATCATAAAATAAGAATGGGGTTTAGCCTTTAACTAGGAAAGTGTTAATCTGTTCTTTGGGCTATCCATATGTCACAAGTCAGTACTCACGCAATCTTCCAGTAATTTCTAAGGAAAATTATTTTGATTTGGTAAGTATGGAGGTCAAACTTCTAATTAAATATAGTAAATTAGGACTTATTTCCAATAATTTGCTATAATGTCTCAAAATAATAGAATTATATCAGAATGAGAGTTCACTCAATAATTAAAAAATAGGATTTTTCCACTTCTTGAGTATGCAAATAGTTATTGCTTAAATAGCCTTTAGTAGAAACCAAAGAAACATTTATGATTAGGTAAAAATGGAGTTCAGCATCTCAACTGAAGATAAGAATCAGAACATTACAGAGAATTTTTTTTCCCCATTTAAGAAATATTAGTACTAATGGGAGGGGAAATAGTTTCCATTTCTTAACTACCCTTTCTGCAATACTTGCTAGCCTACTTATATACAAGCACAAAGAGGATTCAACACTGACAATATCTGCATAATCTTTCACCCTCTTCCAAGGCTAATGGAATATAATATTAATAACATAATTTTGAAATTATTCTGATTAGTTATTTCTCTTTCCCTCCTTTGGAATATAATCTTTGTTAATAAATCAACAGGTACGAACTCAGAATATAAAACATTCTGTAACTACAGCAAGTAAATAGTTTAAAATTATGGCTATGGCATACACCTTTGATGTTGATGAGTCATTTCACCATTACAAATAGAACACCACTTCAGTAACTATATCACACTATGACTTAGTTATATTCATGATAAACTTAACTGATTGTCTACCATTTTACCATCAGATCTAATCCTCACTAACTAGAGGTTCAGCATAATTGCAATAGGCTTTAATTCTTATATATTTGTACTCTGTATGTATGCATAATTAATAGGTTCTGAGAACTATGATTGTTCTATATAAATATTTTTGTATTTTACAGATGCTATAACTGTAGAACAATCAATAGCCAACAGCTTTTAGCTTAGAATTTATGCTGATGTGATGAACAACAAACATGCTTAGGTTATATGCAACTAATCAATATAATGCTATAATCATTTATCTTAGTTCTTATTAGCAATTCTACACCATACTTTATGTATAAGATGGTAGTTATTAGTAATTCAACACAGTAATTTATATATAGAGGAATGTGGTTATTGGTAATAATACACTATACTTTACAAGAAGGTAGTTAAATTAAAACATTATACAATATAAAATCTTATACCAAAGACTGTGTCAATCTCCACATATCACTTCGTGCCAAGTACTGATCCTTGAATGTCAGTTCCAAAGAATCTAACCCAACATTCTGAAAGAAGAAACAAAATTAAAGATTTAAATTTATATACACATACACCATTTTTCAATACTTTCCTGTAACTAAAATGGTTTAAAAATATCAAACTTTTCATGTTGGTTATTTCTATAAAAGGCATTTAACAACATTTGTCTATACAAACAGACTGGAAAAGAACTGGTGAATAGCATATCTGTAATCAAGAATAGCATTAAATTTTATCAGTACTAAAACAAAACAAAAAACACACTTTACAAAGAGAAGCTTTCAAAACATTGAAATAAACCTTTTTGTTTGCACTGTTTTCATTGAAAAAATAATTAACAATATTTCCCAAATTACAAAAGTAAATGGTGACCTGTAACTTTTTTCTCACCTTGGGATTGACAGGATTTACTATCACATCAGCATAAGTTCTAAGCTGAAAGCTGTTGGCTATTGATTGTTCTACACTTATAGCATCTGTAAAATACAAAAATATTTATATAGAACAATTATAGTTCTCAAAGCCTATTAATTATGCATACATACAGTGTACAAATATATAAGAATTAATAAAATATGTGCAAGTGTCACAAACATTCATACAGACAAAATTTCACAGTGAATGTGATTTATTCATAATTAATTCTCTCTTTTTGTATTCTAGTAATTATATTTGAATTGTAATGATCTCAACACTCATTTTTACAATTCTAAAAATAAAGAAATTATGTATATTACACATAGTTAATGACTAACCATTCAGGCTTTTCATATACATAAAAACATAAGATCACATGTATACCAGAAAAACACTACATGTATAGTGATGTAATGTACTGTACACATGAATGGGTTCAAGCATAATCTAAACCTTTAACTCTATAATTATCCAAATGCTTGTGGGTTTATGACTTTGTTTGTTACAGATCATAATAACATATGAGTCGCACAAAAGAAAAATCATCACAAGTTCTGCTGAGTTCTCATAGAACATGAGTGATTTCACTCAGTTGTTTTGTGCAATTTTTTACAATGGGCATTGCAACACATAAATTCATAAAATTATTCCACATGATGCAATATGCGACTCTACTAATAGTTAATTGTGTAAAAGCAAGTCAGTAATTTGAGTGTTAATCTTAATATCTAACATCAAAAGTTTAATTTTTGTTTGCAAAAATCTTAGTTACATATTCTTTGAATGGCAATCACTTAATACAAGCATAACATTATTAATTGCTACCACTTTGCAATAGTAGTTAAGTTACATTTTTTAACTTATACAAAATTTTATTTTGTTCCCCTTAGTATGATAAACATAGTAGTACAGCTAAAATTACAACCAAAGTATCAACTTAATTAAGTTGTATGCATTGTATGTTACAAGTTTTAATGATATTTTTTAAAAGTAGCATTTTGATAACTAAGTAATAGTTATGCAACATAACACTTGGTCACACATTTCATGATTCATTGAAAAATTGTCACTTGAAATAATAAATATTTGTAAAGTTATACCCATTATTTTCATTTCCAGTTGCACAAGACACTATAATTCTTACCTTTCTGCTGAAAGTCTTCACGGAATGATGTCACTTGTAACAGCAAGCGGCTGAAACACAATCAAAAACTTTTATGATTTTAAAATAAATTAAATCTGAACAAATTAATGATGTGACTGAAGTTTTCAAGCTAGCTAATTCTTGTAATTTGATCTCTTTGTGTTATGTTTATTTCTGCATGAAAAGAATTCTCAATAAATTGTAATTATTCAGTGCTATTTTCTCTATCTCTTTATTTACAAATTTGTACTACCACACTTCTGTTTTCAGAAATATAATGTTTTTATTATATATTTTTTTATATTATTATATTATTTTATCATGTTTTAACACTCTTTCCTTAAAAAAATAAAATAAAAATGTAAAATTAACCACCAAAATTGCATTTTTTTTTCTTTACAAATAGTTTCAATCGGTATAACTATTTCCAGAAAGTAATTGGAAGTCTGCAAAGTTGCCTAAAAGTAGTTCCTGTATTCTTGAAAAGATCAGAAACATATCTTACTGGAAGCTTTCACATCAACATCGATATGACTTGAACTCGTGTGCAATTCTATGTAGTTTAAAATATCTATATACAGATATATTGCTAGAGGTCATACAAACTTGAAATTTCATAAACATATCACAAATCACCTACTGTCATAACATATTTAAATACAGTCAGTACTTACAACTGTCATCTAATACCACACTTATTAGTAAATGTTTCTGTAAAAACCACAGCTCTTACAATAGTCACAATTTGTTAAAGCAGGTGACAAGTTCAAAATTCTAAGATTGTATGTTAGATCAAAAACTAAGCAAATACAAAACATGAAATACACTAACCCACACATTTTCAGAAGGAAGGTCTGCCTTCTGTAAGAGCTCAAATTATTAACTTCTTTTTGTGTTATGTATTAACCACTAGCAGTGGTATCTATGTGACCATAATATTCCATTGAAGCTTTGGCCATATTAGTTTTGTTACCGCATTAAACTTCATTAGAAAAATATTAATGTCTCTAAGCAAATAAAATAGGGACAAGAAGGAATTATTTGATCATTCAAAGCTGTCTTCTCACATCCAATCTTGATAAAAGTAAAAAATCTAAAACGGGTGGTAATTACACATTCTTCAGTTTGCTGAATTGTTCCACCTTGAAATGTTCCATTCTAATAATCACAATACATTATTTTAATCACTGCTACTTCAAAAATGATTTACTTCTACTTTCTTTTCATCAGATTACAAACACATACAACTCATCCAATTTATTCATTATCAATTACTCAGTGAGATAAATACATGTATATTTACACAACAAATGTGCACTCAGTTAAAAATTGCATATTTCCTCCTCTCCTTTCACCGTAGATACAGCAATAAACTAATCACACTCTTAAAGACACTAGACATAATCTATTATCAAGTGTGGACTGTATAGAAATAACTAAAACAATTCTTCCAATAGCATAAAAAAATAAACTTCTGACAAACTCATTTATTTCAATTTCTATAAGCAACTTTTTACCAAATAAATTAAAGTTTTAGTATTTTTTAAGTTATAACATTGATTCATTCAAGCATTTTTAAACACCTTAAATAAGAAAGTTCATAATATTACTTACAAACTGTTCAAAAATACAATGATGTGACTTCCAATTTTCTTAATCCAAATGGAACCCACACTTAGCTTTGAATTATAATCAATATCATAGCCAAGGCAAGACCAATGTCCGAGTTATCAATTATAAATTCTCAACCATTTTAAGGAAGTTAAGCATAAAAAGACTAGTCTGTTGCAGAAGAGGTGGTACAAACTGTGAAGAAGGTGAACAAATCATCAATGAGCTGATATAATCATGCATTTGTATGTAATCAAGTATAACAATTATGTTGTAAGGTTAAGTAGTCCATGTGCATAGAACAGATAACCTGACTAGATGTTGTTTACAAAATACTGTTATTCTAATGTACTTGCATAAATGCAATATCAAAACATTGCACATTTCTTTGGCCACAGACTCAGCCAAATATGGCACACATGTGTAAAGAGACCAGATCAAAGTATTGCTTGCAATGTAAGCATGCCCTAGTGGCCCTTTAAAGGAATGTCTGTGCCACTGCTTATAATAAATTAAATACAGTTATTTCAGATATACAAGATCATGAAACATAATTACTGTTAGTCATTATAAAAAGATGGTCATACTTTTAGTTAATATGACTTTGTTACCTGTATTCATCCTCTGGTAAATAAATCTCTACAATATCACCCTTCTTTAACGTTGGGAAATCTTTAGGGTTGATAACAAGACTATCCTCTGAAATAAAGTCATTCATTAGATTATAGGAAAAGGTAAAAACTGTGCATACACATACATAAATATCAATAATTTTATCTGGACTAACAATTTGAAGCATCATCTCCAATCTATTGTAGGTGATTAAAGGTTACTAAACTATTTAAAATAAACTTTTTAAATGCATTCTTGATTTCTGACAACAGATTCAAACATCCTTCCAACAACCAAAGTCAAACTAACAGGCATACAGCTTCCAGGCTCCTCTCTTGAATCTTTCATCCTAAACAAACAGTGATTGCATGGGCAATCTTCCAAGCTTCACAAATTTCCCCAGCCTTAAAAGACTTTTTAGTCCCTCTCTAAACTACCATTTTTCAGAAGTCATTTTTACTATACTGCCATTCCATTTGGCACAACAAAATAGACATAGATCTAGAAAGCTGTGATGCGTGTTTACCTAGTTTCATAGCAAATTAGCTGTTAGGTTAAAGACAATGTACTATAATCATCTAATTATATTTCATTAACTTCAGATAGAACCTTTTCAAATAGCCAGTAAGTTCTAATGCAGCAGTTCTCAAACATTTTTGTTTGCAGACTACTTGAAATATTTTTAAAGTCTTTGCAGACAACAATGGGATCTATAATATATGTGGCCGCTTTCTTTCCATAAAGACACAACCTTACCACAGATGGATCACAGATTGAGAACTGCAGGCCTAGTGGTTAGTATGTCAAGCTATGGATTGAACGTCACAATTGTAATTTCACCGACCATGCTCCACACTTTTAGTTGAGGTCACCACATTATAAAAGGGTCATTCAATCCTATTGTTTGGTTGAAAGAGCCAGATAAAGCCTGTGTAGTAGCAGGTGCTGCTGGCTCTTTGCCTTTATTCTGGCCAATAATTTAAAATTAGAGATGGCTATCACCTGGCCAAGAGTATTATTCCAGATGTTTTCCTAAGATTTTCTAAAGCAGTTTCTTCTCCTTCATTAATAAAACTAAGAAAAAGTTCTCCAACCTTTAAAAATTGTTTAACTTGGGTGTCCCTTCTTTCAATCAGTAAAAAAATTGCTTGTGAAATTTTTAAAACTTCAGCCATGTTCCTTTCTTCAGTAATAAAGTCACTTTAAAATCTCTTGAAAGAATGATATTATTCTTGACCTTTCTTTTTTTGGCAAATTTAAATGCAATAACCCTTCAAATCAAACTTGATGCTTGGAGCAAAGATACTTTCACAATGCCTCTTAAATAAATATGAAGCTCAATCTATCATTTGATTCACTACTTGGGCTTCATATTTATTCTTAATATTTTAAACAGATTATCCAGAAGAATAAGTTATTAGCATCAATCATAAATATTGTCCGATCCAATATAAACGTACGTTCACTGTGGTGGGTGAAGGACAACTAAAACATAACAAATATAACTTCATTTCATTTCAATAAACATCAGCATCCACAATTTTATTAGTAAGTTCTTCATTACTGTAAGCTTGGTATTTGTTATGCACTAATAATATAACTTCCCTATTTATCATCATTTTGGTATGTGATTTTAGGTTTTATGCAAGACTTTAGAAGGAAAGCATTTCTTTGCAGATAGCTTGACCAAACAAATAAAACATCCTAAATTTCAGTGACATACTATTTAGATTAGTTACCACTACTTTACAACCCAAGTCTTATTAACTTTACAACTGGTTTTGGAAAAAGCAGCAAAGCTACTAACGTTATGATCATTAGTATTCAAGTATTAAGAGTTACTTATTTTTAATTATATCCTCATCAGTTCACCACCCCTACCTCTCAACAATCTGAAAAGCTCAAAAAGGATGATAGATAGTATAAGTAGATGAAAATCCATACTACTACTTATTTACGAGTCTCCTCTTCCATATTTTGGTCAATATCACCCAAAGTGTCATGTGATACAATGAGGGAAGTGGACTTTTTATGTGCCACATAAAGCCAATCATGCTATTGGAGAAACAAATATATATATCCAAGTAATATGTGCATGAATATTAAAATTCTAATTTAGCATTCCCAAGAAGCAACCATTTCACCAAAGTTTTGGTATGAAGCTTTCAAGGTGATCTAATTGAAGCAGCTTTGTACTCCTTAAGAAATTTTTGAGGTCAGGCATCCAGGAACTTTTCCCTCACACAATGTAATGTCTGCATAGCGACTGAAGCAAAGGGGTAAACAAATAGCACAACAAAGGGGAAATCCCATTGATTTCATACACTTGCAAGCTGTCTAGACTCATATTCGTAATGACTATTTGTGTTTGTGACAATATTTTATTGTTACAAACCTGCAAATGGTGAAGAGTTGTTGTGCATTCAACTGCACCAATAACAAGATGAAAAGACCTGAACTTTTCTTCTATTTGATACGCAGTCAAGCTACTGAAAAGGAGAGAAGAGTGTTGTGGCTAAAAGCTATCAATCACGGAGCACAGGAAGCAAGAGAAAAGCTGTGGAAGCCAAAGTCTGACTATAACTATATGTGTTCAGCTCATTTTATATCAGGTAATTGTTGTCTTCCAAATTTTCTCTTTCTAAATTGCAATTTTACACATTTCAAAAGCCTGTTCTAATTTGTATATGAACATTAACTTTATAAATTAGAACATCTTAGACTTAGACCTGAAATTGGTTAAAAGTCTGGAAATGTCTAACATTAATATTTAACAAGAACACTTACATTTCCACCAAATATTTTTTTTTACTCAAATTACGAACTCAAACATACATAAGTCCTGTAGACCCTAGTGTTCATTTTTAAAATAGTTAGCATAATCTTTTTTTATTTCAATCTTTAGTTTTGTACATTTAGTTTCCTAGACAAAGTCATTTGAATTAGGAGCATTCAGGGGAGAGGAGGGCGAAAATTCTCACTGAACTTCTAAAGTTCCATCTGGTGGTGGGATTTTATATTAACTCTAGTAGCCATAATGCTTCTCAATCTTAGATTCTGAATGGAACTCAAACAGATTAAAAACCTTGCATTTGTGTGATAATTGAATGTATGGTCTGTTCAGTTTTTCTTGTTTTTCTCTGGTAAGAAAAGCAACATAAAGGACCACCCTGACTACATACCATCAATATTCCCTCATGTTGCCCAGTCAGATTCATCAAGGAAGAAGAAACTGGATAAATTCATTCGAGACCAGAGAAAAAATGAAAGAGGTGAGCAGAAATAATTAAGCCTATTCAACTTGAGTAGTTATCAGGGTCATGTTCAAAATCAATCAGATCTTTATATGCCAAGTCCAAGAGAGTGAATTCATGGTTGGTGACATTGGTAGTACTTGATGTTCAGATATTTGTGAAAATAATGGGGGGTCTACAGTTTTTTGGAAAGAAAATTAACATATGGGAAGTTGTATTTCAAGTGTATGTTTTAAAAACAAGTTGGAGAAAAAAAAGTTGATGCACAACCTTTTTTTCATCTTTATTTTTATGCACAGTAGTAACCATATTTTTTTTTTGTTTATTTCACCATTCATTGTATGCAGATGAAGCACCAGTAGCACAGAAAAATCACAGTAAATAGTATGTTGAGTTATCAATGAAGAATCACCACTCAGGCCTGATAGTCCATACACAGAGGATAGAGAGCCTGAGACACCCATCCTTACTCCCCACTCCACTGGAAGAAAGCAAAAGAGGGCAGCTCTACTCTGAAATGGATGCCTTATGCCAGGAATGGGATGTTACTCAAGACAAACTAAAAGAACTTGAAAATACACTGTTGAACAATAACCTATCTGCATCTGTAGTTGAGGGAAATAATGAAAAATGCAAGATGCTTACAGGCATCAGTTGGGTAGATTTATTATCAACTATTTGTATTTCTCAGCACATTTATGAATGCCAGAGCAACAACAAAAGGTAGCCTCCTCTTTGTGACCAACTTTTTTTTAACTCTTGTGAAATTGAGACATAATGTTTCCTTCCATCTTCTGGCAACAATAAGAGGAATCAAAAGAAATACTACAACTGACTACTTCTGGAAATGGATAGACCTACTTCACACCAAAATAGGAATCCTTATATAATTCCAGGATAGAGCAAGGATCTTCCAAGTTATTCTTCTAGTCTTTAAAAACAAATTTCCACATCTCACTTGTATAGTTGCTTGCTTTGAAATGTTTATTGATGCACCTAAAACTCTAAAGGCCAGAGCTCAATGTTGGAGCAACTACAAGCATCATTGTACAGTCAAAGCTTTTATATCATGCAGCACTCTTGGACATATAAATTACATCTCAAAGGTGTATGGAGGAAGAGCATCAGATATACAAATTGTTAGGGAATCGGATTTCACGTCAAGTAAATATCACATGCCCGGGGACCAGGTACTTGCAAACAGAGGTTTTACCTTGCAGGAAAAAATGGCTGCAGCATGTGACATAAATCTTCTCATTCCAGCATTTAACAGGAGTAAAAGCCACCTTTCTACTGTAGAGATGAAGACATCCAGGCAAATATCTTCAGTTTGAATTCATATTGAATGTGTAATAGGACAGCTGAAAAAGCATTAGACAATCCTGCAAGGCCCTCTACCCATTCAGAGCATGAAACAAATTTCAGATGAACTCAGTGAAAAAAATATGGCAAGCATTGATAAGATTGTTAGAGTCTGTGCTACATTCTTATACCTGGATGAAGGCATCATATATAATAAGTGATGTCTGTGCTAGTTTGTACAGGGTTCTTGTCCTACCAGTGTTGTCATTGCTTTATCAATAAATAGAAAACATTTTTTCTTGTTTCTTTTGTATTGTTACATAATTCATTCTTTCTCTCTACTACTCTTCATGTTTTCTCATTTTCCATTACAGCTACATTCATGTACACCTCATGTCTGTTCTCTGGCTCTACTCTGTTCCATGGCACTTACATACTTTTTTATACTCACATTTCCACTAATTTCTGTATACTTTTGGAAATAAAAATTGTACACATCACTAAACAGAAACAGAAAAGGACAAGTAGTTA